GTTTCCCATAGGAATGCATTGCAATGCATTCCTATTGGAACCTCGCAAGATGAATCAATTATTTTCATCTTGCGAGGCATAGGTCTTGCGGGGGGAAAATCGTCATGCGAAGCATGGCCATAGAAGAAGCCATCTTGTGAGGCACCAACACGATCGCAAAAACCATTCGTCTTGCGGGTTTTTCGTCCAGCGAGGCGTTTGTCTTGCTGTACATCCAAAGCTAGACTAGACATAAGTGCTGTAGAGATGTAAACATATATTTGAATCCCTACACTGCAAAGCTGCTAGTAGCAGTTAAGAAACTCAGATTTTTAAAAAGTGAAATCAGTTAACCAACTCACTTTGTAACATTTCATTTCTACAATGTACATTCTGTTTTAGGACCCAAGTATAACTGCTTTAATTTTGGAACATAATTTCCTTACAAGTGATAAGTCATATAAATAGTAATATGCATAAGAAAACTGGATTGCTATCTTCTGTTGATTTAATTGCAAGTGAGAGCAAATCCCAGTGAACTCTGCAGAACAAAAAATAAAACATGCTTAAAATTGGGATATAACTTACTTCAGTGAAGTAGATGAATTACTGTATGCCTAATATAATACTTATTGAAAAAAAATCCATCCAGGCTTACCCGCTGTGCAGATATGACAAGAAGAATGTGGTGCCCAAGCAATGCCGTTCACACATGCTCTGTGATTATTCAACCTGGCAACAGGTGTACAAGGGACTCTGACATCTAAAATTACCACCTTATGGAACAAATAAACATTAATGCTACTAAAAATAAGCCTGAGGAAAGAAGACTATATCACCATTCATGAAGCTATGGACATAGACCCTTAGCATAGACATCATTGCCTAATTCTTGGCCTGGCTCTCCAGATGTTGGGATGGCTCCCCAGATGTTGTTACTGCACTGCACAACAACTCTTAACATTAATCACTATCAGGACTGACAACAACTGCAGTCCCACAGCATATGGAGGACTGCACTGTGCATATGTACAATTCACAATGTTAAACTGTGCATTAACACAATTTCTTCCATAAAATAATTATATATTTTATTTGTATGCCACATTACTCCCCAAAAAGGGACCCAAGACAGCTCACAGCATTAAAATTCACACAATTAAAACACAGTAAGTTAAATATTAAAAGACAAATTAAACTATAATTTAAAATAAAATTAAAAGATTAAGTTGGAAATGGAAACATTAATTCAAAAACTATACTTCAAAATATCAATACTTATTTTTCCCAACATACCACACCCAGAGGACTTCACTGCAATGCATGCTGATCACTGGAGGTAAGTTAGTTGGGCCAGCCCACCCCTACCCCTGAACTGACTGATGCTGGCGCTCTCAAGGACAAATCAACCATCACAGCATGCTGACTTGAGAGCCATTCTTTGTCCCCATCTAGGCCTGCTCATGCTACTGGCAGCATCCTAGTATGGCTGCTGTTTCATAGTTAATTAAAGCTAGGAATGGAGAACATTTGGTCTTCAGATATTTTGGATTGTAACTCCGACAATCCTTGACTACTGGTCATTTCTGCTGCTGGAGCTGTAGGCCCAAACATCTGGAAGGCTAAATGTACCTCCCCCCTGCTTTTACCCATGCTGCTATCTGCAGATAAGTTCACTAGAAGGCCTGAAGCACAAATGGCTTTCTCTATGTAGCTAGAAAAAAACTGGCTGTAGATCTAGTATTGGCAAATGGTATCAAATGTGCAAAGTACAGTGGTGCCTTGACTTACTGGTTGTAACTCGAATTGGTCGCAAGTCAAGATGTTCGTAAGTCAAAGCACCATTTCCCATTGAAATGCATGGGAACGGGATTAATCTGTTCCAGCATTTTAAAAAAATCAAAAATAAAACACTGCAAGCCCCTGGGGCTGCAAAAAAAACAGAACAAATTAAACATAAAAATAATCCTGTCAGCCCAATACCACCCTGCAAAAGCCACCCAAAACAGTTTTTAAAAATGCAAAATGCAGCACACTTTACCTCACCAGGAAGCCTCTTCTCAAGCCTCCCGGCCATGCTCAGCCGCCTGGGCTTTACCGCCGCCGAGACTGCCATCAGCGGAGCCATCCAGGAGCTCACCCGGCCTTCCCCACCACCGCCGAAACCACCCCATAACCGCTGAAACCGCCGTCTGGAAGCTCACTTGATTTTCCCCTCCGCTGCGCGGGCCCCCAAACCACCAAAACCGCCGTCAGTGGGGAATATGGCTCTCACTGCCAGTGTTTTCGGCGGTGGTGGGGTGGTTTCAGCAGCGGCGGGACTCACATGGCGGCAGGGAAGGCCGGGTGAGTTCCTGGATGGCAGTCTTGGTGGCGGTGGGGCCTGTGTGGCGGAGGGGAAGGCCGAGAGAGCTTCCAGACGGCTCCCGGCCTACCTTCACTGCCGCGTGGGCTCCACTGCTGCCGAGACCGCCATCAGTGGGAGCCGTCCGGTAGCTCACCTGGCCTTCCATCACTGCCTGGCCTGGGCTCCACCATCGGTGCCCAGCCAGGATGGGTCCTCGCCTCCTGGCCGGGATCTGGCTCCTGGAGTCCAGCTGGGAAGCGAGCAGCACGGACGATCCCAGTGCCAGGAGCCAGAGCCCGGCTGAGATGGGTCCTCGCCTCCCGGCTGGGCCCGCACCGCCACATCCCTTTTCCTAACTGTTGGGGCGAAAGAGCTACAATGAAGCAGCCTCTTCGCTGGCCAATTGCTAGTATTTTTGAATTTCCCGCCCCATTCCCCTGCCTTTTTTTGCGGCTGGAGCTGTTTGTAAGTCAAATAGTTTGTAGGTCAGGACGTTCGTAAGTCAAGGCACCACTGTATACTGGACAACCTCACAAAACACTCTCACCTCCATGCCATCCATTGCCATTGTTGCAAGGTAATTAGGATCCTGCTTATTCCAGCAAAGACGGAGTAAAGGATGGTGCTGAGGATCTTCATAGATAATAGTGCTGTGCTCCAGGTGCCGCAGATCAAACATCCTCACTGATCCATCAGCACCAACAGAAGCAAACATGTCTCTCCCACCTCCTGCACGGCTGAATGCAATATCATACACCTGCTCAGACAGGAAACAAAAATGAGACACAATGTTGCTTCCTGTACCAAAACATTTGCCCATATCAATGTTATTGTGCAAATGCAGAAATACTGCAGTCATGTTACACAACTGCCTTGCTTCAAAGATGTGATGAACAAAGTGTGGCTCTCCAGATGCTGATGGACCACAATTCCCAGCACTCCTCACCACTGGCTATGACTTATAGACACTGCAGTTCAGCAGTAACTGGAGTACTGCACTTGGTCCACCCTGCTTTAGAATTTTTTAAAGGACTGTACCAGCCAGAACCGCCAACCAGGCATATTTTACTCCCCCCCACCCCCGAATAGAACTTTCCTAAAACTTTCACAAAATCTTAAAGGAATATTAATTCTCCTCTTCTGTAAAGCAATTTACTTTGTTGTGTAAAATCAAATAATAAGAACTGTAATCCATTAAAGTTCACATTAAAATAAATCTGTTAGGCTTAAAGTTGTCTGAAGACTTCTGTCTGTTGGTTGGCCATATGTGCTAAAATGCACAACATGACTAACCCTTCGAAAATTATCTGGCTGTATTCACACTCTACTTCATAAACCAAACAGTATGAGAAACCCATTTGTGAGTGCTAGCAGAACCTTCACAATCCCCATGTCAATTAGTTCCATTTTACAGATTGTCAAATGTTTTATAATAGCACAAGTCTGAGATGCCCCAATAAAGAAAGGAAGAGAAAAAGTGCACCATCACCTCTTTGTCATGAGCAATCAGCTGAGTCTTGACATGGCCTGACACCAAATTCACTCTTCCTAAGACCTGACCAGTCTCCAAACCCCAGATAGTGCACGTTGTGTCAATACTAGAGGTACCTAAGGCAATGGAGAAAACCCACATATATTAACAATACACAACACCATATTTGTAAGGCGTGACTACAAAAAGGATCTCCACACCATGCTTGCTTTACAGGTAGTGCTGCCCAGATGTGTTTCAGAGACTGCTAACTTATTCTGTTTTAAAAGCCAGATATAATTTGCAGGAGCTGGCTAGATAGATCAGTGAACTGGAGAACTTGGCTGTGAAAAATTATACCAATAAAAATTATACCAATAAAAACAATCTTTCACACTTTAATGAATTTGTTCTTATTTGTTGTAACCTAGTGGCCAAAATGCACTTGGCATAAGTTTATGTTGGCAGAAGCTGATGATGTTATCAACTCATACCAGTACAAATTAAGTTAAATTAATTAGAAGCTTGTTATTCCCCTGTTTTAGATTCTAAGGCTCCCTAGTGCTCCAATTTCCCCTGGGGAAGCTTCGATATGGCAAGGGAGACTTTAATCACTAAAAATCACTGCTGGATCACTACCACTTGGACCTATTTTAATATTTCCACCACAATCAACTTCCCAAATTAGCCTAAGTCTTACCAAGTAGATAAGGATCTACTTCATTCCAATCAAAAGATGTCAATGGAGCACAGAAGTCAGAATTCTTATTGTTGTTCAACAAACACTCTAGTCTGGTTTCTGTTTCACCCACCTGCATCAAGAAATAAAATTTTAGATTTGGTATCGTATTGATCTTAGTTGATTACTTAAAGTATGACCCTTCAAATGCATACCTTAGGAAAAGCAGCTACTCATTGCAATATACAAGAATTACACACTATGTTGAAAGGGAAAACATCTGTTCTATTTCTCTAATGCACACATACTTCCAATTAGAGATGACCACAATTCACATTTTGGCTAAATTTAATCCTGAATGGAGCACAGAAGTCAGAATTCTTATTGTTGTTCAACAAACACTCTAGTCTGGTTTCTGTTTCACCCACCTGCATCAAGAAATAAAATTTTAGATTTGGTATCGTATTGATCTTAGTTGATTACTTAAAGTATGACCCTTCAAATGCATACCTTAGGAAAAGCAGCTACTCATTGCAATATACAAGAATTACACACTATGTTGAAAGGGAAAACATCTGTTCTATTTCTCTAATGCACACATACTTCCAATTAGAGATGACCACAATTCACATTTTGGATAAATTTAATCCAAAAGAGAAGCTCCTTCACCATTTTATTTGAACTGCAGTCAGTCAGACATTCATTACAGATATGATACATATTGTTGCCTTGAAAACTCCATTGATAGATTCTTTATAAACTACTTTCAAGAAACAGTGTTCTCAACTTTAGCAACGTATTGCATTCCAAGATTATATGGCGCTATACTTGAAGTTCTACATTTTATGAAACAAAGCATAAGAATATAGCATAACCACATGCTTTTGAGTTGAAGACAACCAGCTGACATATCATCATTACTACCAAAGTGTAACTGAACCAATGGATAGAAGATTCCACTCTTTATTTCCACTTTTTGCACTTCACGGCAAGCAAATGTCAAGCTTGCAGAAACTCTTTTACTGTAAGATATCAGGGTTTATCAATTAATGGCAAATATAATACAACATTAAGATCACATAACTTAGTAAATAAACCTAAGTCAGTATGGAAAGCAAACAGATGAAAAACCACAGTAGTTTAAAAAGAAAATAAAGTCATTAAAAACTCATAGCAGTCAGGACACTCCAGAGACAAAGGGCAAACAGCAGAGAAGGCCCTCAAATGAGTCACTACTTACCTCACTTCAATAAGTGGGATGCCTGAAGTAAAACTTTAAGTGGTGGGAAGTTTGTACACCATCTAGAACATATGGTTATTGAGATAACCTTTCAGGAGCATATGTGGGTTGGAATCAGGTAACAATAGCCAGGAAATACAGTGAAAGTCAGAGCAGAAACTTTAAATAAGTGTGATATGTTCTGAATGACCTGTCAGTCTATAGGTTAGCTACTGTGTTCAGTGGAGAACCTAGGTCCCTCCATTTTTACTGGATTTCCATTCCCATCACCTGATAACTCCCCATGCTGGCTGGAACCGACTGGAGTTAGAAGTCCAAGAACATCTGGAGGGACAAAGATTCTCCATCATGCAACTGACATGCAAATGGAATCTGGTTAAAACTATTTTGTGTCACAGTTGCACAGATCTTAAAATCAAATTTTAAAGAGAAATGAAACCCCATTTAAAACAGGTTGGACCTCATCCGTCAGAGAAACCAAGAATCAGTAATGGTTTCATCCACTGAGATGGAAGTTTTTCGGCATTAACCTCCATGCAGTAGGAAAACAAACTGTTGGTTATGTAAGTAAGGAGTTTATTAATGTCATCACTAGTTTTGGATTCCACAGTTTTTTCACTGTTCTATTACATTTTTCACATTTCCCCTGTAGATATTTATTTCTTCCTTAAGTCAAACTGTCAACAAATATAACTATTACCTTGTAAAAGCAATCTTTCTGAAACTTAAGTCGGTAGTCAAAACTAGTAATGGCTTGATGGATAAACCCCTTCCTCCTACACCCAGTGCTCTGCTGAGAATTTCTTGTGAAACATTCACATGGCAACAGCCACACAGATCATTTTATCATCTACTAAATTGGGCAGGATGACTACAGTTGTGTTTACCTCAGTTCTATATATCTGATGCCTAGGAAAGGTAGTCCACAGGAAGTCCATTTGTACTACAGAAAATTCCACAAGTGATTACAGTGACACAGATACACAGTAGCAAAACGATATAACGCTGCAGTAAAATAATGACTAATATATGTAAATACTTAGTAACAAAACTTTAAACACAGTGACCAAAATCCTCCTGTGTATTACACCAGTAAAAGGGGAACAGTGTCAAATTGCTCCCTTATGGAGTCCTGACAATGTGCACCATTTTCTTTCCACTGGGGCAGTGGGTGCTTCCTAGTCATTCAAAAGGCAGATCAAAGAAAAGGGATGCAACCTGTGCTGGATGAAGTTGCATTCTCTCTGAAAACACAGGTGCACAGCTTTGGGGTGCTCCTGGATTAATCTCTGAGCCTGGGTGCCCAGATTTTGCATTATTGCTTTGAATGTGTTTTTGATGTTGCTTTTGCTTTTAGTATGGTATTCGTTTGATTCCCTTTAGTATTTGTATACTCACTGTTGTTAGCTTTAAATACTGTCTTAATATTGTAAGCCACCTTAGGTCTTTCATAAGGAGAAAGGTGGGGTAAAATATTTTAAATAAGAAATAAATAAATTACACAACAGGATTTTGCCCAACTCTTTCTAATTATTTGGATTTGCAGTCTACTATTATGCAAATAAAGCCTGAAACTCCATTTCTATGGCTGTTTCTCTACTAGTTGTTTTCTTTGGAATTGACATGGTTCATTCACTGCTACTATGGAAAATCTAGGAGTCCTCCTTGCCAAACCACTGCATTCCAGAATTTTCCTAAGTTATCTTTCCATCTTTTTTCAGACCTAAATTTGTATGACTTTTTTCCTGACTTGCAAACTGACTGTACACTGCCAGCTCTTTCAATGTAGATTAGAAAAACACTATTGGTGGACATGAGGGAAGTAGTAGTAAGGGAGCTGGCAGTGTAGCTGTTAACATCCTGGCATTTTCTGGCCACTCTACAATTACATGGCCCTTCCACAGTCTCTTCCCCCACTACATGTGAACATCTACAATTTTACCTTTTCTCTCCCTCCTACCCATTTCTATTGGAGCCCAGCAACACAAACACATTTAAAACAGCTCTGCAGCACAGATCCTTTCTCCAGCATTTTCAACAAATACTTTGCTTTTGAAAGCTCTGGTCTAGTTCCATTTGTTAATCCCCACTATAACAGACCCTTCAAAATAATGGGAATTTGGTAAGCTGACATATGTAACTTCCATAGATTCAATCAGTCTGCTGTAGCTGGGACTAACTTTGCCGGGTACAGTCAAAATCTATGAATAAAAATGGGAATTGGTGGTATGGAACATAATTTCTATCTATTTCCTACAACTGCTTGAGCAAGCTGCTGCTTGCCCTTTTCAGGTGGCTTTGTCTCCTTCGTATTTAAAGCAAAAAGCAAAGTGTGCTGCTTATATACTGCTCCAAAGCACTTAAAGCACTCCCTGGGTGGTTTACAATTTAAGTATTCAGGTGACACATTCCCTTTCCCTCTTACCAGGCCAGGTACCTGATCTATCTATTTCCTACAACTGCTTGAGCAAGCTGCTGCTTGCCCTTTTCAGGTGGCTTTGTCTCCTTCGTATTTAAAGCAAAAAGCAAAGTGTGCTGCTTATATACTGCTCCAAAGCACTTAAAGCACTCCCTGGGTGGTTTACAATTTAAGTATTCAGGTGACACATTCCCTTTCCCTCTTACTAAGCCAGGTACCTGATTTAACAACCTTGGAAGAATTGAAGGCTGAATCAACCTCAAGTCAGCTACCTGAACGCATTGAGGGTGAACATAGGTTGTGAGCAGTCTTGATCACACTTCTGCAGTTTAACCACTGTGCCACAAGGTTCATATCTAGTAATTCATTGGCCAAAACTCTGCACACTTCTAGCTCTAACCAGCAACTTATAGGCAGCCTCCTCCTGCTCTCTTACCTACCCTGCTTCCCTATCATCAAACCACCAATAGCACCTCTAACTCAGGTCTGGGAAGAGAAGCAGCATGGAAGAGACAGGACATGGGAGACTGAGACAGGAGGATAAACATGTAGCTGTTGCTGGGCCACTGCTCATCTACAGGGGGTGGAAGCCTGTTTGATGCTTATGTGGGAAAGTCAGCCAGCAACCACTATGGCTGGCCTGACTTATCTTGCTTAAAAGGAAAATAATGTTATCTAGTTCACCCTCCTTCTTCCCCTCTCTCTGTTTCTTTCTTTGCATTGAAGTACAAGTTTGTGCATGAGCTCACAGAGATTTTTTTAATTAAACAACATGAGCAAGATAGAGTATTGTCATTAAAAGTGAGGCAATCCAGCTAAATAGCTACCTTGCATAAGACCCTGACTTATCTTGCTTAAAAGGAAAATAATGTTATCTAGTTCACCCTCCTTCTTCCCCTCTCTCTGTTTCTTTCTTTGCATTGAAGTACAAGTTTGTGCATGAGCTCACAGAGATTTTTTTAATTAAACAACATGAGCAAGATAGAGTATTGTCATTAAAAGTGAGGCAATCCAGCTAAATAGCTACCTTGCATAAGACAGCATTACATTGTCATTAAAAGTGAGGCAATCCAGCTAATGCATAAGATAGCATTACAGAATTGCTGGGGGGACAATATTAAAATTGACTGCGCTTGGAAGAGGTACCAAAAGCTAAGCAATATTAAGCATTCAAGGATGCTCACTGTGACTATAATAGGGAACACAAAGTTTTATTAAATGCTAACTACAACTCCAGTTTTAATTCTGTTTCCAAGTGATTGAAAAATATCAATACCTTAGAAGTAGTTGATAATCATACCACATGGCTTTAAGAGTTACTAGAACATGTTGGTTTGTTTTACTAACCACACACACACAAAATTTAACATCACATTTTCTTTCTCTCCATCAATGGACTGAGATGCTTTTGAGAGTCTACAGTTTGAAAACAATTTATATACTCAGAATCACCTTCTAAAATTAGAAAACAAATATCTCAATTTGTCCTTTGTAGGCCAACTACTACATTTGTTTACTGCAGATAACATCTGGTCAGCTTTCTCTCAAAATTCCCAGAGTCCACTGGCAATATCAATCCCAGTAAAATAACTTCTGAAAGGCCAACTTACTCTCCACACACGCAGGTAGTCACCACTGGTTGCCAAAAGGTCAGGATAAACCCCTTTGGTATCTGGGATCCACATGAGCTTCGTAGTGGGATATGGATGATCAAAGGTATTTCTGCAGATGAATTCTGAGCTTTCCTCATCCAGCCCAACGAGTTGGACCTTGAAGAAAAAACATTAGTATTCCAATTAACTCCTCTGTCCATACACTCTGAGTCCCTATGGTAAAGCACGCTTTGGTCCGATTACAGTATTAAGGAACTATGAAGACGACCTGTATGTATAGCTGTCTCTCACTCACACATACACTCTCACACACCAAAACATACAATTGTACTTTTATAATTATTAACCTCAGTGTAAAAATAAAAAATACTCTATATTGTGTAAGAAGCAGAAAGGGCTAAGGAGATGTTTTTTCCATCCTCTTTCCACCTACACATCATGAAAAAACTGTAGCACTTCAGAGATCACAACCAAAATGGTGCTATGAGGTGAGGCTTTGCAATTGTCATGTCTCTCTCACACAGTTTAATACTGTACAAGTTTCACCATCCACTTGTAATCTTCTGTATGTTCCCACTTTTCTGCCATCTTTTTTCTTATCACAGAAGATGCATTAAGGAGCGAAACAGCAAAACTTGCACCACAAATTTCTTTGTAGTTCAAATAGAAAAATGTGTGACTAGGCACAGTGAGAGAGTTTTCCCTGGAACAGGTTGATGTGCTGGGGGATGGTCCTCTTATCCATTGCTTGACTTTCATTTCCAATTGTGGCAGCAAGAACTGTTGGCCTCCTACATTCTGCCTCCTCCTGCTTTTCTGCCTTCTAAACTCATTCCTTGCGAAAAATAAAAATGCAACCAAGAACATTGTCCCTCATCAAGTCAGCTCTTGCATTCAGCTCTACACTTGTTCTTGGCAAATGCTTAATTTATTTTTCAACCTTTGTGTTTTCCTGGAGTAATGAATCTGATAAACACCCCCACAACCCAAGTGCAATTAGCTGCATAATTAAAGGACTCTACTATGCTGTTGATGTGTTTATATGTTTCTGATTATCTAGCTGCTAAATTCAGACCAAAGAAATACAAGGTGTGGGTGTCAGGGTTAAGTTATAGTAGTTTAGTGAGAGGCTTTCTTACAACTCGCTAGTGCAAATAAGGAAATTCTTTTCCCACAAAGTTTTGATGTGGGGAAAAAGCAGATTAAAGTAGTTCAGCTTTGCTTCTGTTTGTGCTCATGGGAAAAATTGCAATGCTTACTTATAAGCAAGCACATACCAGAATCATATATATAAATAAAGTTCCAACTCTACATATCTGGTGTGCTTTTATTTTAATTTCAAATTACCTAGATATTTTAAAGAAATGTAGAGGCATTCACTCCTGGAAAACTGATGCCACTCCCCTATCATTTGACTGGCACCTTGGAGAGAAATCCAGACTCCCTAAAATCAGCCGCCAAGCCAGAAACAAAAGAGAGCAGGTGAAGTGAGTGCCCTAGTTTCCACTTGTCAAGCACATTCACAGAGGAGGCACAGAAAGGTGGTGGAAAGGCTCTGGGATCTCCCCTTGTTCGACGGCAGAAACACCAACTGGGTAGGGGGCCCTCAAAATCACGCCCAGCCGCCAACACATCCAAACCTTTATGGCCACACCTGGCCATGCTGGCACAAGGAGACGGATCCCCGCTTCGACAGCCCCAGAAACCAGCTGTTTCAAAACGTCAGGAGAGGGAATGGATGAGGGAGGCCATCATGGGCGGTGGGGAAAGCTGGGGTGGGAGGGCAACGGAGCAGCCACGAAAAACACGTCGTGGGCAAAACGCCGCGAGAAGCGCAGGGGCCCCCTCCCAAACCGCCAGAAACCCCCCCTCCCCAATGGGGCAGGACCCCAACCCTTTGCGATTTAAATTGAGAGCTCCCCTTCCTAGCCCAGGAAAAGATCCCCGTCCC